TAATTCCAATAGATTGTATTTACAAGTAGAATACATCCAATCAAAATTGGAACGCTATAGTAATTCGTTTATTCACTTGGTGCAGTTCACGGAATTTATTTGCAGACCTCGGCGGCAGGTCGAGAGTTTATTGCTTGGTTTGATTTTGTTGAATTTGTTCGCAGACCTCGGTGGCAGGTCAAAGGTTTTTTGCTTGATGTGATTTAAAGATTTATTCGAAGACCTCGATGGCAAACCTCGAAAGAAGGTTGATCTCTTTCAGTCAACGGAGGTCGGTCGAAATCGACATGCAAGATTGATCGAAAAAGCTAAAACAATAGGGTTGAATTTTAAATTTTGAATTGAGGGGCGATAGGACGAGGTGGTCGAAAAGGTTTATCTTTAAGCGAAGAGAGCTCGAACATGGTGGTAAAAAAGCAGGAAAAGTAAGTTCAAATTTTCAAATTTAAGACCTCGGGGAGTGGTAATTTGGTTTTCAACCTCAGTAGAAGGTCATTCGGTTTCCACCCTATTTGGTGGAACATTCGATTTCGACCTCATCGGTAGATGTTTCAGTTTTCGACCTCAGTGGAAGGTCTTTCGGTTTTTCACCTCATCAGGTGGTCATTCAGTTTTATCGATATACATTTAGTTTTTCAATTAAAGGTGGCGTCGGGGTTATTCGGTCTTCGTCAGCAACAGTGGATCATTTATTTTTGACCTCATCGGCAGGTCATTCGATTTTCGACCTCATCAGCAAGGTTTTTGGTTTTCGACCTCAAGGGAAGGTCATTCGGTTTTCTACCTCATCAGATGGTCATTTGGTTTTATCGATAGTCATTTGGTTTTTAACTTAAAGGTGGCTTCGGGTAATTCGGTCTTCGAACTCAACGGTGGATCATTTGGGTTTCGACAGGTCATTCAATTTTCAACCTCAGTGGCATTAGGTCATTCTGTTTTCGACCTCAGTGGTGGGTCATTTCCTCATTGACAAGTCACTCGATATTCGACCTCAATGGAAAGTCATTCGGTTTTCTACCTAAAGGTGGCCTCAGGTCATTTGTTTCATTTGATGGTTATTCAGATTTTTTGAAAGTCGTGCAGGTCATGCGATGTTCTATTGGTGATTATTTGGTGGTCAATGATTTATTCAAGTTATAACCTCCGTGGCAGGTTGACAGAAACAATCAGAGGACACATTTTACTCTTGGATCGAGGTATGCTCACTCGACCAGAGTTGGGGGGGGGCTAGATAGTATATGATATTATACTAGACCACTTTTAATGGATACGAAGGAACATATTGGAGAATAAGCCTACACACGAGTTAGGACATATAGCATAATGGTATTGGTTAAGCTCAACTTGGACACTTAGGTACACTTTCCCTATAAAAGTGGCTAAAGTATCTCAAAACTCCATTCTTTCCACATTCACTGCTATGCTCTCATATAACACTCTATCTTTGGTGAGTGCTGACTTAAATATCAGAGGCTCGACGCTGAGACCTCCATTGCGTTGAGTTCTTGCAGTCACGGAGTGACTGACTGTCCGAGTTCAAGGAGTCCGAGTTGAAATCCATTTCACCAACATATATCCATTATAATAAACTACAAATTTAATTTTTTGTGATTTATATTGATTATTTTTTGTCAAGATACACATAAAAACATAGTTAAGTTCTAAGCATATTATTTTTCACAAAGCTTGATTTTTTATCGTAAAATATTTAAGAAAATTGTAACAAGCTAAGTTAAGTAATTTTTTCTTCATCTTTATTTTGTTATATATATAAAATGAAAAACAATTTATTCTTCAAATTATTGTAATTTACCATTTAGAAGATAATTACCATATACATCAAATAATTTTATTAATGGTCATATATTGAAATTAATATATATT